TTCCACCTGCACTCCATAGTCGTTTAAGGCACAACCAACAGGCACCCGTAGTTTAAGGCCCAAATCAGCCTTTCTCTACCTTGGAAAGTGTACCTCTAAACCCCACTGACTCTTGGCCCCAGTGTGCGGCCCTGTATCACTCAGCTGGATTCACTTTACCCCCAGTACATCCATGAAGCGGAAGGGAGTGAGCCAATCAGACCTTGTACAGTTGAGAGAAGCTTTAGCTTCCCGTTAGCAAGAGGGTTTCACTAAGCTGCTTGAGACATGTGGTGTTGTGAGCCGAGGTAGAGGAGAGCTGATGACCCCAACGATCGTCCCGTCGTCAGCTGGGCACCCAGACGGCTAGATTCACTCAAGAGATCCTTTGATATCCCGCTAAACAGTGACAGGCCTACACTGATCGGTCCAACGGCGACTTTCGCCACCCTCAATCATCAACGGCAGTCTCAAACGGCAGTCAATCTCTCGCAGTCAATTTCTTGCAGTCAAACTCGCGGTCAAGTGGGTTCTGACGGAAACCCTAAAATGAACTCACTGTTAGCTCTTGTTAACTTTATCACTGCCCTATCTAAACCCTGTCTGAGATCGAATGAGACTTACTTGTTATACTGCAATAGTGCAGCACAGGTGACTAGGCCACGTGACTATTTCTGTGACGGACGCGCAGGGACGTCTTGCTGGACCGAATGCTTCCACGTGACTAAGGACCAGCCAGCGTCGCGTCTCTCCAAGGCGCTAGCTTAGGCCTACGTGACATATTTTCCGCCTAACTAATAACTCCTTGGGACACCCGTAACATTATTCAGACTGATAAACGATCTATAATAATTCCAAATTCAATAATAGTCCCTTAACTTCATGAATCTCATCATTATTAATTCGGCAAATTATATTTAATATCATATAGGCCTAGTTCCACAACCTCTCACTATGTTCTGGGAGCGCTCTCTTCCCTCAGACGACCTTGAAAGCTCAGTATCGCCAATGGCGTGGCGTTTGAAATTACTCTGAAATTTCTGAATATTACATATATATATATATATATATATATATATATATATATATATATATATATATATATATATATATATATATATATATATATATATATATATATATATATATATATATATATATATATATATATATATATATATATATATATATATATATATATATATATGGGAATTAGCCCACCCTAGCACAGGTCAAACGACCCACAACGGAGCCTGGGGGGCGAAAAAAAAAGAACGGAAAGAAATTGAAAATATAGAAAAAAAGGTTATACTGTATTAATCTACACCACGAAGATGCCGGAAAACCAGCTTTTTAAAGTGAGACAGATTGTAAGAGCATGGAAACACAGAAGAAGGCAGAGCATTCCACAGTTTGGCTGTGTGAGGAAAGAAGGAGGTACTATAACGGGTTATTCTCGTGTGACTGGTACCGCGGGCAAGACGTGTGTTACGAACCCACGGCCTTGCCGGCGGTACACAGGATGCCAAATCCACCTGAACATTGCCCGTTAAAGTACCTGTAAAAGAGAGAGAGTGAAGCAACATTGCGGCGAAGAGAAAGGGAAGAGAGATTGTCGACTAAAGGAGGAGAGTTAATAAGACGAAATGCCTTTGATTCCACCCTATCTAATAGTTGGACAGAAGAAGAGCCACCCCAGATATGAGAGCAGTACTCCAAGTTAGGACGAATGAATCCCTTATATACTTGGAGCAACTGCTCAGGAGTGAAGTAGCTGCGGCATCTGTACAGCATTCCCAACTTTCGGGAGGCAGCTTTAGTTATACTAAGGATGTGTGATTTCCAGGACATACTGGAGGAAATGGTGAGGCTTAACATATTTATTTCAGAATTTGGGGGGATGATAGCGTCCTGAAATGTAATTGGTGGGAGATCGTCTTCTTTACAAAGTGTAATTGGTAAATATTGAGTTTTGTTACTATTGAACTTAACCAAGTTTGTATCTCCCCATTCAGAGATGCTGCACAGATCCGCGTTGATAGAAGTAATGATATCAGTTCTAGAAACAGATCTAGTTTGAGAGTTAGGAGGAAGGGGAAAATGTGAGGAAGAGTGAAGAGTAGAATCATCGGCGTAAGAATGGATAGAATTAGTTGCAGTGTGAAATAAATCGTTGATAAAAAGAAGAAAGAGAGTTGGTGAAAGAACAGAACCCTGTGGGACACCACTATTGGTAGAGAAAGAGCGAGAAATCGATCCCTCGACAACAACTGCCATGGATCGATTCTCAAGGAAGCTAGAGATGCGAGAACAAAGTAGGGGAGAGAAACCAAAAGAGGGAAGTTTAGATAGCAAAGACTTGAGCCATACCCTGTCAAATGCTTTGGAGATGTCGAGGGCCACGACAAAAGTTTCCCCATAATCCCTAAGAGAGGATGACCAAAGATGGGTGCAATAGGAGAGCAGATCACCAGTAGATCTCGCCTGGCGAAAGCCATACTGGTGATCCGACAAAAGAGAAAGGCGTTCAAGGTGACGGAGAAAATGGGAGTTCAAGATAGTTTCGAGAATCTTAGAGAGGGATGAAGTTAGGGCAATGGGGCGATGGTTAGAGGGATTAGAATGGTCACCCTTCTTCGGGATGGGCTGAACCAAGGCATGCTTCCAAGAAGAAGGAAAAGTTTTGGTTTTGAGGCAAAGGTGAAAGAGGCGAGCAAGCACAGGGGCCAGGGCTTCAGCACACTCCCTCAGAACACGAGGGGGTATTCCGTCCGGTCCATGCGCCTTACTCACATCCAACCTGGATAACACACCGGCAACCCTGCGAGTGGAGATTATAGGAAAGTGCATAGGTTCAGTAGGAGGTGCAGGGGTAGGAGGGGTAGAGTGGGAATCGTCTAAGGTGGAATTAGAGGAGAATAAGGTGCCAAAGAGGTTGGCTTTCTCAGGGGGAGAGTTGGCTATAGAGTTATTGGGACGGAAGAGGGGAGGAAAAGAAGGCGTGCAGAAGTTGTTACAGATGTTTTTAGCTAAGGACCAGAAGGATTTACTAGAGGAAGAATTAGTCAGGACAGCAGTCTTTCTTTTAATAAAATTCCGCTTGGCCCTACGAAGAATAGCCTTACAACGATTCCTAGAAGTAATGAAAGAGGTGTGGGTAATAGGAGAAGGAGATAGTTTCATAGCTCGATATGCCCTATCTCTCACCCTGCAAGCAAGAGAGCAGGAGCGATCAAACCATGATTGTAATGTGAAAGTTTTGGTAGAAGATGGGATAAATGCACTCATACCGCCCTGTATAACCCCAGCAATGCTGTCAGCACATACTGAGGCGTCCCGAGTGGAAAAGCAACATTCATCCCAAGGAAAGTCGGTGAAGAATTCTCGCAAGGATTGCCAGCTTGCCCTCCGATAGTGCCATAGTTGACGTTTAGAGGGGGGTGGGGGAGGTGGTCGTGCCCAGTTTGATTTAATAGAAATAAGGTTGTGATCAGAAGACCCTAAGGGGGCAAAAATTGAGTATGAATAGTGTGAGGGGTTAGAGGTAAAACAAAGATCAAGAATGTTAGCAAGTTGATCGTGTCGATCAGGAACGCGTGTAGGGTGTTTGATTATTTGTTCCAAATCATTAAGTAAGGAAAAAGAGAGTGCCTCAGCTCCACCTGGGTCATCCCTTGCAGAGCCAAGCCACTCTCTGTGATGTACATTGAAATCCCCTAGGTAGAGGATCTCGGTGTTGGGGTGTGTGGATAGCAACGACTCATGGCAAGAAGTGAGATAGTCAAAGAGTTCGAAATAGTTGGTAGAGTTGGGAGAACAGTATAGGAAACAAAGAAAAATAGTCACAGTAGGTAGAGATATTTTGAGCCAGATGACATCATAAAGGGGAGATTCAAGATCCGGGAATCGGGCTATAGGTGTACGTGTGTTGCAGTAGGCGCATACACCTCCCTTAGAACGGAAGTAGGTATAAAGGTTGTAGTTAGAGACTTGAAAAGGTTTGGGTGAAGCTGCTTTGGTCAGTTGAAGTTCGGAGAGTAGTAAGAGGTCGGGGGAAGAGGTTGATAGATGGTGCTCCACAGAAGAAAAATTGGATCTCAGTCCGCGAATGTTGGAAAAATTAAGTGTGAAAAAAGCCGTTCCTCCAGCAACCGCGGTGACGTCAGTTGAGGCCCCAGTAGCTTGATGATGATCAGGTCGGCCCTGGGGTCCACAACCTTCCCGACCAGTGGGACCCATCCAAGAAGGCCCCGCTTCAGTATTAATGTCAACTGACATAGGAGAATAAAATAGAACGAATAAAACAGATCAAGAATGAGTACGGTTTCAGTTGTGGTGTTGTCAATAGTAAGATAGTAAGAGAACCAGTTGAGACCCTGCAATTGTGTGTAAATGAGGCAGAAAGATAGATCAGCAACCTGGGACTTGGTCACAATTTTGTGATGCCATATAGCAGCAGTGTCTACCGTTAGACAACACATTATGCTTCCAATATCTTCCCAGGTGGTAGTACCTCCCTGTTTGGTAGCTGCCTACTACCTACTACCTATATATATATATATATATATATATATATATATATATATATATATATATATATATATATATATATATATATATATATATATATATATATATATATATATATATATATATATATATATATATATAATGGACACAAGGAAGAAAACACGAGTCGTGTTTTCTTTCCTTGTGTTATCAGCATAACCTGGCACCACCATTGATTTACTTGCATATATATATATATATATATATATATATATATATATATATATATATATATATATATATATATATATATATATATATATATATATATATATATATATATATATATATGGGTGGTTACAGGACAGCCGGTCATGTAAACTGCCTTTGTAGTTCATAGTGGCACCTTCCCGCGGTACAGGTTTCACACCTACAATAGTCGCAGATCTAGTCTCCTGTTGGTGACAATCTGCACTTGTATACACTCACATCACGTGGTACTGGTAGCTTAGGTCTCACAGCTCACAGTGTGGGATAGGGTTCTTGTTCCTCATCTGATGGAGTTGGGAGCCCTCGTTTCTCACCTGGTGGAGTTGAGAGCCCTCGTTTCTCACCTGGTGGAGTTGAGAGCCCTCGTTTCTCACCTGGTGGAGTTGAGAGCCCTCGTTTCTCACCTGATGGAGTTGAGAGCCCTCGTTTCTCACTTGGTATACTGTAGAAAGTCCTTATATCTGGTGTTAGTGGTCAGGTCTGGATGGGTTGTCAGCACTAACCACGGAGCATCGACTTGTCACTGTCTAATACTTATTTCTATTCCTTTTGAGTTGAAATTATCACTTTTGTACATCAGTTGCGGTTTATCATCAATCTTTGCACTGTATTGTTGGTGGGAGGATGAGGGACGACAGACCGGCCAGGCAGAAACCATGGCCGCCTTCGCAGAGTAGCACCTAGTACAACCTCACCTCATGAAGGCTGAATATGAAGTAGTAGTAGCAGCAGTAGTAGTTTCATTATCCTTACATTTATCAATATTATTTTTATTTTGTCACTGTCAAATTTAATCAGTTACTTATTATTATCGATCCTAACTAATCACTTACCACTGTACCCTGTGTGGTGGTCTGCAGGAGGATGTGGGTGAGGGTGAGGGAGGAGGGCTGCAGATCACAGGAGAGGGGCTACTGTCTGGGGCGCCCCGAAGCAGTGACGCCGAGGACGACCCCTTACAGCACCAGGACCCGCCCCAGGAAGCTGACAGGACCCAAGGCACCATCACCCCTGCTTCCTTCAGGAGACCACCCAAAGTCTCCAATCCTCCGTCTGTCAGGTAAGCTGTAATAATAATAATAATAATAATAATAATAATAATAATAATAATAATAATAATAATAATAATAATAATAATAATAATAATAATAATAATAATAATAATAATAATAAACGGTTTATTGAAAAAGTTTGCAGCCCGAAGGCTGAAAATATACATTGGACATAAATGACTTATTACATACATTGGTGGTTTAACAAAAGCCTTCATTAGAGAAAGGTGAAGGAATATACAGTGAACATACAGATTAATGTTTACACACGTAGATCATGTGAGCTGAGGTGTTGAACAGCATACACGCAGTGTAGTAACTCCCTCACAGATGGCGTTATGAGGGGCTTGACGTGGTGTAGTAATTCCCTCAAAGATGGTGTTACTAGGGGCCTGATGATGTAGTAATTCCCTCACAGATGGTGTTATGAGGGCCTGATGTGGTGTAGTAATTCCCTCACAGACGGTGTATGAGGGGCATCACATGGCGTAGTAATTCCCTCACAGTCTTGAAAGAGTGTAGGGAACAGATTAGCGGACCCCTCGTAAATTTATTTACAAAATCATTAGGCACCGGAGTTGTGCCAGACTTGTGAAAACAGGCAAATGTAGTACCCATATTCAAAAAGGGAGACAGAGCATCAGCGTCAAATTACCGGCCGATCAGTTTGACGTCAGTAGTGGGGAAATTTCTTGAATCAATTATAGCAGATAGCATCCGATCGCATCTAGAGAAAAGCAAATTAATCTACGACTCTCAACATGAGTTTCTAAAGGGAAAATCTTGTCTAACAAATCTGCTGACGTTTTTTAGGAAAGTCTTCGAGTAGTAGATAATGACGAAAATTACGATGTTATTTACTTAGACTTTAGCAAAGCATTTGACAGAGTACCGCATCAGAGGCTTCTGAGAAAAATTAAGGCTCATGGTATCGAGGGGAAAGTTTTAAGTTGGATAAAATCATGGCTCACCGATAGAACGCAGAGGGTCAGCGCAGATGGTGTTAAATCTGAGTGGGGCCGTGTAACCAGTGGGGTTCCCCAGGGGTCAGTACTAGGCCCACTCTTGTTCATAATCTACATAAATGATCTAGATACTGGGATCAGCAGCGACATAAGCAAGTTTGCGGATGACACCAAAATAGGGCGGCAGATTAATTCAGGGCAGGATGCAAATGCATTACAGGAGGATCTAAATAAACTGCAGGGGTGGTCTGAAAAATGGCAAATGAAATTCAACACCAGCAAGTGCAGCGTACTTAATATTGGAAGAACAAATACTGATAATGTATACAGCCTTAACAACATCAACCTAGAGAAGTCGACTTGTGAAAGAGACATAGGGGTACTTAAAAGCCCGGACCTACGGCCTAGAAAACAGTGCGTTAATGTTCGAAATAAGGCAAACAGAGTATTGGGTTTTGTATCTAGAAGTGTAAATAATAAGAGTGAAGAGGTCTTATTGCAACGATATCTTGCGCTAGTCAGGCCGCACCTCGATTATGCGGTTCAGTTCTGGTGCCCTTATTATAGAATGGATATCAATTCACTAGAGTCGGTGCAGCGAAGAATGTCAAAAATGATTCCGGGACTTAGAAACCTTCCATATCAGGATAGGTTAGAGAAACTTAACTTGCATTCCCTAGAAAGACGAAGAGTGCGGGCCGATATGATAGAAGTATTTAAGTGGGTGAAAGGAATCAATAAAGGGGATATAGATAAAGTTCTTATAATATCCGAGCAGGATAGGACTCGAAGCAACATATTTAAGTTGGATAAGTTTAGGTTTAGGAGGGAGATAGGAAGAAACTGGTTCACATATAGGGTGGTGGACGAGTGGAACAAGCTTAGCAACTTTGTAGTAAGTGCTGGAACTCTGGAAAGTTTCAAAAGGAGGCTACATAGATTCATGGATGATAGAGAGAGGTAGTAACTCTCGACAGGAGCTGCCATGCACAGGCCAACCGGCCTATTGCAGACTCCTTATTTTCTTTTGTTCTTATGTTCTTATCACTTGGTGTAGTAATTCCCTCACAGACGGTGTTTTGAGGAACTTCACATGATGCTATAGCAACTCATTCACTACGTGGTGTCGTAGCATCATGGGGACACCACTTGGTCTGTTGTCACAAGACTTCACTCACTCAAGTGGGTAAAGTGTGGTCCCAGGCCTCTCTATCGTGGAGTCTCAGGGGAATTATCACTAGGTACATAAGAACATAACATAAGAATGGAGGAAACTGCAGCAGGCCTATTGGCCCATACTGGGCAGTCCCGTTTACACCCAACCCCTATTGCTCATATGAGCATCCAACCTATGTTTGAAGCAATTCAGCGTATTCGAGTTAATGATGATATTTGGTAACTTGTTCCATTCATCCACTACTCTGTTCCAAACCAGTGTTTACCTATTTCACGCCTAAATCTAAATTTGTCTAATTTAAAACCATTGTTACGAGTTCGCTCCTGGTTGGATAGTTTGAGTACCTTTGTAATGTCCCCTTTGTTTAGCCCTGCCTTCCACTTATACACCTCTATCAGGTCGCCCCTCGCTCTACGTCTCTCAAGGGAGTGCAAATTAAGATGCTTTAACCTGTCTCTATACTCAAGGTTCCTAATGCCCGGGATTAGTCTTGTCATTCTCCTCTGAATTCTTTCCAAGAACTGAACTGCGTAATCCAGGTGTGGTCTCACAAGAGCAAGATACAGTTTTAGGATGACCTCGCTAGTCTTGTAACTAACACTCCTTTGTATGAACCCAAGTACTTTACTAGCCTTGTTACGAGCAAAAACACATTGTTTACTTGGCTTAAGGTTCCTACTTATCATTACTCCTAAATCTCTCTCGCCGTCGGATTTCTCTATGGCATCGTTGTTCATCTGGTATCTGGTTTCCCTGTTTACATCTCCTATACTGAGTACTTTACATTTGTCGACGTTGAATTTCATCTGCCATTTTTCAGACCATTCGAAAAATTTTTTTAGATCTTCCTGTAGTTTTGCCGAGTCCTCGTCAGATTTGATAACACGTCCTATTTTAGTGTCATCAGCAAATTTACTTATGTTGCTGTCAATGCCGATATCTATGTCGTTTATGTATATAATAAATAATAATGGTCCAAGTACTGAGCCTTGGGGAACTCCACTTGTGACGTTGCTCCAATGGGACTTAGTGCCGTTAATGCTCACTCGCTGTTTCCTGTCCTGTAACCATGCCCTAATCCATTTAAGGATGTTACCTTTGATGCCATGAGCTTCTACCTTTCTAATTAGTCTTTCGTGGGGGACTCTGTCGAAGGCTTTGCTAAAGTCGAGATATACCACATCATAATTGTGCCCCTCGTCCACCGATTCGAAAACTGATGAAAAGAATGTTAATAGATTAGTTAGGTAAGAACGTCCGCTTGTGAAGCCATGCTGGGAATCATTGATCAATCGGTGCTTCTCCAGGTGATTTCGAATAGAGTTTGAAATGATTGCTTCCAGTAATTTGCCTACTATTGATGTTAGGCTGATTGGGCGGTAGTTAGAGGATAGTGATCTATCCCCCTTCTTGAAAATCGGTATTACATTCGCTATCCTCCAGGATTGTGGTACTACACCTGTTTTTAATGACATGTTAAACAACTTTGCTAAGGGCATACTAAGCTCTTCCTTACATTCCTTTAATACTCTGGCAAATATCTCATCGGGACCAGGTGACTTATTAGGCTTTAGTTTGTCTATTTGCTTACTAACATCGTTACTAGTCACTACTATCTCACTTAATTTGTTTTCTTCACTATCTCTGAATAGAGTCGGTGCCTCGGGTATCATGTTTAAATTTTCGGTGGTGAAAACTGTTGAAAAATATTTATTCAAATTATTGCTCATTTCTCCGTCGTTATCAGTGAGCTCGCCGAAGTCTGACCGTATTGGTCACCTGGGACCTCACTGTGTGAAGGTGTGTGTGTGTGTATCACGCCTTAATTGATTGAGATCCTGCGGTCAAAAAATTATAATTTTTGCATTCAATCTTGCCATTATCTCAAATTATAATTTATCAGTGTTTTTTTTTTACTAATACATGTTATACAGTAAGCTTACAGTATAATCTATACAAAAAAAGTTTCAGTGTTCAGTTTTATCTATCCGCTGTAAACGGTAATCTTGGGGTGACCTTAGGGATGATGTATGTAAAGAATCTTAAGTTTTGTCGGTATGCGGGACGTCCTGATTTCATTAGACGACAATTTTGTAATTCCATCAAATTCTTCGCGAGGAAGAAGTTGAATCATGAAAGGTTCCATATAACAAGAGCTTTTGCCTCATTATTTATCTGTAAGTGCCACAAAGATCATTAACTTTATAGCTTATATGTTTGTTTGTACTGCAGGAGTTCTCGCAAGTCGTCAGTGGGTGGATCACACAGTTCTATCGCTTCGACTCCCAACCCCGAGAAGATCCTGAAGGAGGCGGCACATCTTCCTCCTGACACCGTGGAGGACGCTCTGCTGCCTCGCCGACCAGAGGAGGAGCTGGTGGAACTGACGGGGTCTCGCGCTCTCGCCATCCGTCTTGTGGACCATCCGGCGCCCACCAACTGTACCAAATATGTAGTCATACGACCAAATACTGCTCCCTCGCCCGCCCCATCCACAAAGCCGCCTCTACTCCCAAAACGCCCCAAAACTGCCAAGATAATTAGGAAAGTTCCAGAGATCGAATTCGCTCTTAAATGGGACCTCAAAGAAAATATCATGGAGGAGGAGGAAGAAGACGAGGCCATTGAGGTGGTCTCGCTGAAGAAGACCAAATCACGTGACCCTCCGACCCCACGGTCCGTCAGCTCTGTGGATTCTGGAGTTCACATCCCCAAGACGGCGTGGAATGACGGGCCAGACACTGGCGAACTCGCATCAAAGTTAGAACGCCTCGAAATGAACCAAGAATCAGCGTCCTCATCACGGCAACGACCCCCAGAACCAGAGTCAGGTTATGGCACTCCCAAGTCTCGAGATTCTCGAGCCAGCCTGCCGTCTGTGGGCTCCAGGGCTAGCTCAGGGAAGTCAAGCGTCAAGATGCCCGTCAAGACCGGGAGTGCACCGTCAGATAGCAAGAATGGCAGTCGTAGGATATCCATGGACTCTCAGAGGCTGGCTCAAGAGAGTCCTAAATCAACGCCCAAGTCTAGGATAGCATCCTCAGGTGTAGAAAAACGTTCGCCCAAGTCATCTAAGGAATCCAGCAGAAGCATAGAGACTCAGGGGTCCCGGAGGAAAGTTAAACCTCCAAGCCCTCGAGTCGAAGACAAGGGGAGATCAGAAACTCAGTTTCGAGATCCTTTGGCTATTATGGAGACAATGGATTCTGTGTTCCACACCGTTCCCCTGCGAGATACCGGAAGAGGAAACCACACGTACAGAAGCACGACGGCGGAGAAGCGGCAGGTTGTGGCAGCGACACAGACAGAGGAGCCAGTTGCAGAAGCGTTCGTCAGGTCTTCTGACGACGATAGCAACGGCGGTCAGCCAACTGAGGCTAAGGTAAGATGATACGACGATTATCTTATACTAAACTAAGCGAATTCTCCTGCCGTCATAATTTGGTTTGCGACTGGGCCATCTCTACATATAAGGCACTCACTGTGCTGTGAGCATGGGCGGGCAGCAATATGTTGGGTGTACAGTACTCAATTGACACATGTAAGTTCTACCTCACTGATGATATATTATTTTTACTTCGTTATTATGCAATTTGCACTCTATGGTTGTAACTCTGCATGTATGCATCTTTAATTACCCGTCTTTAGTAACCCCAAAGATTTTGCCGTGGCTACTGTATTTCCCGTAACTCCTGTATGTCTTCCCGTGACCCCTGTATATGTTCCTATAACCTCTGCAATATTTCTATAATTCCAGTAATATTCCTATCTCCCTCCCCTCTGATCTTCGTAGTTTCAGGCATTTTTTTAATTAACTGCATTTGTCTTGCATCCCCCCCCCCCCAGGTGCGTCACAATCATCCGGGTCACCTAAGATCACGAAACTGTCTGGCGTGTGAGGTGCGGGCTATGGAGGAGCCGCCCAAGAAGTTCCAGGGTCCCTCAGACTACAAGCCTGCCTTTAAAGCTGGCAAGGTGCATCAGGGGTCTAATGTCAAGAAGCCCAAGTGAGTTACTCAAGTTTTGTTTTTGATACAGGTGCATCAGATGTCAGAGTTATTAAGTAACGTTTATTAGGTCTTAAAACTTAACGTGATTTAACTGGCAGGTTTGGCACATTCGGCAACGTATAATTACCCACTTTATCAATTACCCATGGACACTTTCCTCTCCTACAGGTACATGCGGCAGAGCGAGCGGTACAACGCTAGGCTGCGGGCGCGCCACGAACCCCCAAGGTACTGGCCTATCAACACGCTCAGCTCTCCGTTCTGCAACCGTGCGGGGTATGGCCAGGACCAGTACCCGGACCACATGAGGCTCCGCACCACCTACGGCATGGCTCACGCCCCCACCCCCAAGCCCGTTCACACCTCCCTCATCAAGAAACTCTACCTCTGAGGCATGTGACACTCTCAAGCTCTGCCTGTGAGGCGTATGGCACTCCCAAGTTCTGCCTGCTAGGTATGAGGCACTCCCAAGTTCTACCTGTGAGGTGTGAGGCACTCCCAAGTTCTGCCTGTTAGGTGTGAGGCACTCCCAAGTTCTGCTTGTGAGGTGCGAGGCACTCCCACGTTCTGCCTGTAAGGTGTGAGGCACTCCCAAGTTCTGCCTGTTAGGTGTGAAGCACTCCCAAGTTCTGCTTGTGAGGTGTGAAGCACTCCGAAGTTCTGCCTGTAAGGTGTGAGGCACTCCCAAGTTCTGCCTGTAAGGTGTGAGGCACTCCCAAGTTCTGCTTGTGAGGTGTGAGGCACTCCCAAGTTTTGCCTGTAAGGTGTGAGGCACTCAAGTTCTGCCTGTAAGGTGTGAGGCACTCCCAAGTTCTGCCTGTAAGGTGTGAGGCACTCCCAAGTTCTGCCTGTAAGATGTTTTCAATCTCTTCCCGTGAGACGCTCGGTGGTAACACAGTTATATCTCAGAATTTCTTATTGTTGGTGAACTACTGTAGTGTAATAACTAACGTTTTTATGCGCTTAAAACCCCTGGTATTTGAAGAGTAATAATAACAACGCTCGGTGGTCCCTTTGGGCGTGTGTGATTCTGAAGTGATTTGTGTGGGTGTGCGTGTAGTGACTCGGCCAAGTGTGGTGATGTGAGACAGCGAGTACCGGGCCACACAGTTTGCTTCACACAATACCCGAGCATCTGGAGAGGTACTGTTGCGTAGTATACTGAAACAGGGACATACTGTATTTTAATGCGATTTCCATAGACTGTAAGAGGAAGAACATGTAGGACTTCAGAAGTTACACAATACTTCATAAACTTGTGCTCACTAGTGTGTACAGTATATGTTTTGGGCGAAGACGGAATATATAAAAATTAAAAAAAAAAAACTAAATAATTGCATCATTAGAAACAAATTGCCCAAATTAACTGATAATGCTTATTAATTGGCTTTCAAACTGCAGTTTTTATATACACAAATAATATTAGGCGAGGGAGAGAGGACTCAAAACATGCCAATAAAGTGTTCATTATTTGCCAGTGTCGGCAGCATTATATTTAGTATTATTGTGGGATGGAACCAGGCGGGTCTCACATCAATGTGCTGTCGAAGCTTCAGGTCTTGTCTGCCTTTTACATATTCCCTTAAACAGACGGTCAGCCTTTGTATACTTATATACCAATAGATTATTTAATGTACCTATGACCAGTACGCCTCTATTTGTAAAATCAATTCGTATTTAATTCAAATCCAGCCTCTTTATCTTTATCTCACTTAGCATAACCGTAGGTGATAAAAGTACAACTGACGTAACCTTCACTCAGATATCGAAATAATCATATATATTACCTCTGATACTTCTCGTAACGTGAGTGAGATACGAAACAAACCACTGTACTCAACTCTCCAAACGTCTTCAGTTTCAGGGGACTTTTTCTTGGCAGACAAGATCCACAAAATATCATCCAACGGAAGCCTCTTCCCCAACCCCAATGTCCCCACTGCTTACTGGTCAGCTGAAGATCCTGAAGTGTTACATCTCCAGCAGCTACGGCTGAGGAAGAGTTATCTGAGCCCCGTGGGGAGGTCTGATAAACACAGTCACTGAAAGGGGGCGATCTGTTGAACAGTTGAAAGTGCTAGAATGTTTACATCTATTCGGCGTCGAGGGTCAGCCACAACACCACCAGAGAGGCTGGACGCTAGAGGTTACCATGCTGTCAACAGTCTACTCTCATCATCGACCTCGGCCGACTATTTCTAGTGCCCTCAGCCGCTCCTAGCAGCACTCTTAGGAAGCTTAGAAGCTTCCTCGGCTAGTTCCAAGCAATAACCTCAGCCAGCTGTCAGCAATGTGTGACGGGGGCTCCCTTGAACTGAAGGCTTTCCGTTCAGTTTATGGTATATCTAAACTGACCCAGGATGGCATCTGGTTCCTCACAACCCTGCTCGACCTTGAGGTTCTATAATGAGTCGAGGAAGATGGTTCGCTGGCGTCTCTTCACTAGTTCATCCAACACGTTGTGCACATTAAAGCGCAGGAGATTCCCTTTAGTAAATCCTAGAATCTGATTGGCTGATGAAGATTACGATACACACCAACCAGACGCCAGGGAATAATTGCCCTTATTTTTTATTGAATCTCAATGGCTTCGTTGGATTCGCGAACTCAAGTGCAAACTATAAAAATGAACTAATTAGTACAACAATTATTTCTTAACAGCTAGAGAAGCATAGTGTGTACCGTATATTGAGGCAGTTTTATATCCTAACTCAAACTTCACTGTATAAAGTTAGTTGAATTGATGATGGTTGTATGAATGACGATTTTAAATTTTCTAAAACTAGAATAAATCTTCGTTTGATGTTTTTATGATTCCTTGGTGTGACGGTGTGTTGTCTCCCTCAACCTGTATACTGTTGGTCCATTCTAAAGACTTTTCGGGTCACGTTAAGGAGATATCTCAGCTTATTTCACTTGAGTTAAGGTGTGTAATCATCTGATGAAATAATCTGGGGTTGTCTAATCTTCACATAATCCGACTTTTCTTCATTAGTACTTGACTATCTCTAAGATCTTGAAGGGAAAATGCTCATTCAGAAAAGACAAAAAATCCGGGTGTTTGTACTTCAGCACATCAGATTCTACTCTTTTGACCAGGGTGATAGACACGATCTTGTTCCTTTTTTTAAGATACCAACGTCTTCCTTTAGTGGCTCGCATACAAGACGATACCGTCCTCTAAGTATGCAGGGTGTAAGTGAAGGGGGTAAGAAAAAAATAGCTGGTTCACAAGTGTGAAGGAACATTTCTACCTAATGGTCAAATAGCCGACCACAACATTCTTCTTAAGGTCAATAGAATAAGGTCTGTTCACGCATCAAGGAAAACGGAAACTCTCCAGACTCGTGACGTCACTTGTACCCACCTCTAACCGAGATCACATATTATACCAGACTAAGTAATTGTCATTTCTCCTTAATTTCCGCGAACAATTTTCATAATGGCTATTCAAATAGGTGTAAAATTACCAATATCAATATACAGTATTTTGTATCATTTACTCACCACCAATACCGCTACCGCAAGAAACCGTTTAATTAATTAAAGTCACCGAGATCAGCTGTTATTTTTTTTCCATAAATTGTAACCTACTGTTTTCAGCTCTTTTTGTGCTAAATCCATATCCTAACTATTTTTTCTAGCTAAGCATATGATTAGAGGAACACTGAACTAATTTATCAATAAATAAATCCCGAATAAATGCTGAATTCCATCCTATACTTAATATCCTGAGCGGCAGCTGCCAAACGTACGACGCAGATTCCTCTGACACGTTCGTGCTTATACGTTTGGTATTGCTTAGATTATATTATATTAATACAGTTTAGTGAGTGCTACCAGTGCATGGAGGTCGAATATAAAACGACTAATTTATACAAATCTATAATAACAATGGTATTTATTTATTTCCCTTAATTATTCACTTCCAACAACTCTATTAATTAATTGCATTATTATACATCAAAGCTTACTTATACCATTTATACTATACTAACAAATTCTGGGGTCATTAATTCTAAGGGGATAACTTAACTCTATTCTTAATTTTAAGGTCGCTGCCACCAGACCCCCTCTGGACAGTATGTAGCTCGTTAGGTAGCGGGCAGAGTAAGCTAGGCATTGGGTTGGGTTTTTCATTGACCAAATCGATAGTTGGGAGAAGGGTGAAACAACAAGCATATCTTAACTAATTTATTCCTTGTAAAACATATTGCATCCCGTCAAAATACAAGAAGAGTTGGCCTTCCTCAGAAGAACAACTATGATTTTAGTTACACTGCCCATCAATATACGTCTTACATTAATTGCGTATCACTAACATACTCATTCCTCATAACAATCACTGACCTCCTTACCTCGGTCATTCCTTCTCACTATAACACCAAACCCATCAGTATAAAATCACCTGTTACATTACAAAAAGAGTTGGTCTTCATCAGGAGAACAACTATTATTTTCATTACACTTCTCTTGATGAGCAGATGGGATACTTCCCAGGTAATCATACCAGTATTGGTTCCACGCCTGGTATTAGGAAGTCGCTCCACGTAGCGACCGCGAAACTTCTCAAGTATACAGTGATTTTCTCCTATCCTGGGTGGTGATATGTAGGGTATCCACAGATTCACAGTGAAGGTGCATGACCACTGTGAGCAGACGCACCTCACATGGGGTGGCCTTCACAGTGTGGTCATGGCTGACGCCCAGAAGGCGCTCAGAACGCGTCCTGTTTGGTGAGAAGTCGAGGCATCACTAAGAATAATGCCTGAAGGGCTTTCATCACCACACACTAGTAAGCTATGACTTCACTTTATAACATCAGGCAAGGTTTTAAGATGTAAAAATTGCAAGACAAGTCTTTTTAGGGCTGAATAAAGCACGATGAAGGGCACTGACCTGTGTTGGTGAGAAGTCGAGGCATCACTAAGGGCGGAACCTCACGTCTCTCACTGACTAGGCCTACAGTTTCCAATCTTTAATTTTCACTTTGATTTCTTATGGTTCTCACATGAACACTTTCCTATTTATTGTGTCCTTATGCCTTATAAATACATATCTTAGTCCTAAATTACATAATAAAGTACGGCTCTGGTTTGACAGTTCCTGGGGAAATTCATTGGGTTATACTATAACCCAATGAATTTTAAAATCAAATTAACAGTATATACTAGCAGAAAGGCATAATATAATGCGAAACAGCAAAGCCCAATCATTAATTAAGCAACGGGGCACTAAGTAACCAATCACCGATGACGTTTACATTCATTCATAATTTTTACTACGTAGTATAGTAAACAAACGGCCTTGAGTTGCCAGCTGTCTCCAGCAGTGTTCGAAGAATCTTGAATGTGACTGTACATCCAGTCGTGGTGTAAGTGGAAATTGGGCCTAAGTGCCACAGTGCAAAATAAGTTTACCCTGTAGTTGAGTTCCTATAATTGTTCATTAAATCTAACGTCATTTTAATAACCCTTTTGTGCTTTTAATAAACCATTTTATTTGTATGTTGGGGCTATTATTCGCCTGCAGTTGTTCACTGTTATTCCTTCCTATTGCTTGATACCATAATTACATATACCCATGTGCCCTCACCCTTTAGTCACGCTACCACAGGTCAGAGGTTGAAGTAATTTGAAGAAATATTAAAGTAATAATGTAAGATAAGAGTTCACGCTCTTATACTACAATCAACAGAATTAGGAGGTGATTCCCAGATAGAGTGGGAGGTGCGCCTGTCACTCGGTTTTGAGGGTTGCTGGTTTCCACCACAGAGGGTAGACGTGTAGTACTCGAGTTGGCCGGCAGGGGGGGGGGAACTCTTCAGGTGATAGCCACAGTGGCTGGTTCCCCCTCAGTGGGGAAGGGATTCTCGAGGGGCTTGGGGGGGGTTGGTACAATGGGCGGGTGTCCACTTGCCCTATCCCTCACGACAAGGGTAGGCGTAATTAGTCAACAATATTTCAGTACCGAGGGGTATGTCATCACATACGCTGTACTTACAAGTGTGGGTTAATGCAAACCAGTATGGTGTTCCAAGAGACAACAGTACTGCATAAATTGTCCCAGCACAAATTCTTGGACAGGATTGTGAGTCGGTGTTCACCAGTGCGAGCAGAACGCTGATCTTCACAGCATCACTCGGAAGGGCGATCTATCTCATGGCGGGGTGGGCAGCACTGGCACCAGTCGAAGGCAGTCCACTCAGCAGAACCAGGAGTTTTTAATTTTTTTTTTTTAGATTGCTTCCAAGGGGGCTAGTTTATTGGTTACCCCCTTACATCCTGTGCAAGGTGAAGCGCAGAAGCGTTTACAGTGCCCATCTGGGAAGCATGCGTAATTCATGCTTGCCTTTATGGCTCATGCATTAAGGGCGTAAAAGCCTGAAGGGTCATGGGTTTTGTCAGCAAGTTACATAAAGTGCCTCTCTCCCTCCGAGTGCACTCATCCGCCGTGGACTTCCCTGAGTGTTGATGTTGTCGTCCACACCTTCCCTGATCGTAAATCCACCCAACTGTGGTATATGCTCAAACTTAACTGCCTTGAGCAGATTAATGATGTCGCCTCCTCTCTTACGACCTCCCTCCCTCCTACTGTCCTGGGTGATGTCCAGTGTAACTCTAATGGGGGGGGGGGGTGTTCGTGAATTACATCAATAATCATAATATCACTGTATACGACACAGACAAAGTGACACATCTGAGGGGGCAGACTTGATTATGTGATCTAGTAGACAGTAATGTCAAGGCTAAGGTCATCTCAGACCACCTAGTCAGTGATCATTATGCAATACTTACTGAATACATTGTTCCTGACTTCAAGTGTGAACCCCATCCTAAGCTCAGAATAAACATCTCAGA